TTCACATTGGTACGACCACTCTGGGGCAGAGTGGAACCAGCCAAAAGCAGGGTTTGGTTAGACCTGGTCCTCCCATTGGAAGGGTGCTTACATAGTCTCCGCTGCTGCCGAGAAAGGGTTAAACCTTGGCCGGCCCGGCCTGGGTGCTCTCCAGCCTGCCCTGCCCCATTACCCTGCCTCCAGCTGAGATCAGGCCATTAGTTTACTCATAAACAGGTGGCACACTCCACCTGAGCAGCAGAGATAAAGGCCATTTCCAAGCTGCAGTTCTGAGTCTGCTCTCTGCACCCCAGCCGCCCGCCACCTCGCCTCAGCCGCCCGGGGCTTGTCCTTCAGGCGGGTGCTCTGTCCTTCGGAAACCCCTATGTGTTCATTAAGACTTTGGGGGTCCTGGCCAGGTGGACCATCCTGTGTACCAAAGGGTTTTGGGCTCAATTTCTGGGCAAGGCACATGCCTAGGTTGCAGGTTTGACCCCCAGTCAGGATGCAAATGGGGGGCAGCCAATTGATGTTTCTCTCTCTCTCTCTCTCTCTCTCTCTCTCTCTCTCTCTCTCTCTCTCTCTCTCTCTCTCTCTCTCCTTTCCTCCTGGCATGTCCAATGTCCCCATCAATGTACCTCCCTAGTGATGCATCAGGGCTCACCGATTTTCCTGTACTCTGATCTGACTCCCCATCAGACAAACTTAATCAATCCTGGTTGCTTGATGGATCAGCTGATATCAAACCAATGGAAAATTATATAAATACTAGAGGCCCAGTGCACGGATTTGTGCATCAGTGGGGTCCCTTGGTCTGGCCTGCACCCTGTTTCAACCTGGGACCCCGGACCCCTTGGGAGATGTCGGAGACCCAGTGCACGAATTAAGCCCAATCCCCGCAGGCCAGACTGAGGGCCTCCAGTATGCATATCAGATCTTTGGTTATTCTCTTCCCACCCTCCCCTGTCCCCCTTCCCTCTGAGATTCAGCAGTCTGTTCCATGTTTCCATGCCTGTGCATTGAGCGTCTCTCCCTTGGTGGTCAGTGCACGTTATAGCTACTAGTCAAATGGTTGAACCATCCAGTAGTCACTTAGGCTTTTTAGATAGATTTACCAAACACTGTGCTAGTGGCTAGATCACTGGGAAGTCCTATTTGGCATAAATCACAACCCCCAGGACCAAGGTGGTTCAAGGGGATGGAATTCCCCTGGGAGTCAGGAGCCTTGAGCCGAGGTTCAGCTGGCGCTCCACCACTTCCTGCCTGTGCGACCTTCTTCAGCTGCTGGCTCTCTCTCCCTCACAGTCCTCACCTGCAGAAGATGGTCAGGTGGAGTTCCCTGCAGGTGGAGACTGGCACAGAGGCACATCTGCGGGGACAGCGCTGCGTGTTGCCAATGCCTCCCCCTCCCAAGCAGTAGAACCCAGTCCTGTAGGTGTTCCCATCCCCAGTCTCAGACAGAATGTCTCCAAGTGTTTGCCCATCCCCCCTTCCTTCCCCTTCACTCCTCAACCACATGCCCCAGGGGATTCTGGAGCAGCCTGGTCTCCCACAGCCCGGCTCAGCCAAGCCCAATTTCTTCATCCAGGATCAATGATTTCTTCTTCTCCTTGCCTTAAAGAACAATGATGAATCACCGGGCAGCCACAGTTCTGACTATTATCCCCTGCCTGCCTTTGCATTTCCTCTTTGGCTGTGTAACTTGGCCTTTTACGATATCCTTTCCGTGCTAACAGAAATGAAGCCCTCCTCCCCCTCCTCCCCCTCCTCCTTCTTCCCTTCCTCCTTCTCCTCCTCTACTCCTCTCCTCTTTCCCCTCCTTCTCCTCCTCCTCCTCCTCCCCGTCCTCCTCCTCATCCTTCCACCCCCTCCTCCTCCCCTTGTCCTCCTCCTCCTCCTCTTTCTCCCATCTTCCTCCTCCTCCTCTTCCTCCTCCCCTCCTCCCCCTCTACCTCTTCCCCCTCGTCCTCCTCCTCCTCCCAAGAAGTTCCCTGGGCCAGGAGTTTGAGGAGTCCTTGATTCCTACTGATCCCTCACTGCCACCCCCACTCCTGGCAGGTTCAGTCACCACATCCTGCTGCCCTTTTCTCTTAAGAATGTCATATATTGTACATGTATGTTCTGCTTTGAGGCATACTCCCCTGCCCCCTCCCCACGGAACTTGGACACTTAGTCACTGTGACTCAGGGCTGGAGGCCTGAAGGTAGGTGGTTTGAGGATGAGTGTGTAAACCAGTGGTTTGGAGGCCTCTTTGCACGAGTTGATGTCTGCTGTCCTTTGGTTCCAGCCTCCCCTCCTCCAGGCGGCCTCCCTGGGCTCCCAGCTCACAGGAAGCCCTCTCCTTCACCCTTTTTTTGGTGTTGGGGACCATGTCTTCAATGCAATGCCCAACTGCAGGAGCAAATAAGTACAATGTCTACCCACAACACAGTACACGGAACTGACCTCTCAGTGTGTGGGTACCCAGACCTCCCTCCTCCAGTCCTTCCTCCCTTCATCCTCTTTCTCCATCCCTTGCTCTCATTTTCTCTCAGAGGAAGAAAAGCCACTAGGGGGGGTGGGCAGAGCCAGCCCGTGGAAGCTGGCCAGGGAGACCCCCTTCTTAAACTGGGCCCCGCCCTCCAGCAGTGTGACCAGGTGCCTCTCGCACCTCCCTTTCCGGGAGCTCCTGGCGCTGCTACCAGGAACTGCCCGAGCATCACGGACAGGAGTTGGCAGGGTCTCTGTGTTGTCAGCAGGCAGACATTCCTCTCACGGCTCTGCCCATGGTGTTCCGGGCTGAGGAAGAATGGAGGCTGGAGAGTAGTGGACGCTGGTTCTAAAGGGCCACCTCCTCCTGGGAGGCTGGTCTCTCTTTGGGACCCTTATACCCAGGCCCTCCCAGCCCGCACCGGCCAGGCCTGCTGTGACGGGGAGGGGCTCCGGGAGCAGCCAGTGACATTGCCACGGGAGACGGTGAGATTGCAGAGCTGATTTGGGCAAGTCTGGTAGCAATGGGATCAATGCGATAAAAACCCTGGTCCGGCTTCAGGGACCTGCATTTGAGCTGTCTGTGACCTCATCTCCCTGGTGACATTTGTGGAGTCCCCTCCGCCCCCCAGACTCAGACTTCCCTTCTGGGCAGCACGGCATCAGCACATTCCAAGTTTTCTAAGGCCTTATGGTCTGACACCGTGGCCCTCCTCCTCCCTTCCCTCCCTCAGCCACCCCCACCCACCTCCATGGCCCGGAGCACCCGGCTAAGTGGGCGAGGGCCTCCCCAGGAAAGACTCTGAGGCGGTTCCAGGGAGCCCCTCATTTCCTCTTCCCAGGACCCCTGATTTGGTCTCCGGTGGTCTGCCCTGGTCTACTCCTCAGTGCTTGGTGCAGGGGGTGAGAGTTTCGGCCTTGGCATTCCCAAATCTGCGTGTGAATCCTGGCTGTGTCTGTCCCTTCATCAAGTTACAGAACCTCTCTCCAGGCCTCAGTTTTCTCTCCTCTGAAATGGACACAACAGCACTGATTGCATTGGGTGGTTTTGAGGATTAGATGCCATTGGGCAGGTCAAGTTTTACCTAGCCCAGTGCCTGGGACACAGTAAACCCACAGTGAGTGCTGCTGTCACCATCTCCAAGGTCACGGTTATCACCTCCCCTCTGCTCCCCCCAGGGCCTGAGGGGGCAGCGTGCGCGGCCGGTGCCGGCGGCCAGGGGGCCCTGGCTTGAGCCCTCGGTGTGCACATCGGAGGAGGGGACTCCAACTAGAAGACCACCAGTTTCCACGCGTGACTCCCAGTATGCACTGTGCCAGGCACCCTTGCGAATCGCCCCTGCACAACTCGTGTGCTATACGAGGACAAAAGCGCTCCCTCTGCCTGGCCCTGGGCCCAGCGCCTGCCCGCAGCCCTCGGTGACCTGGAGCCACGGTCCTGCCGTCCCCGCCACCAGCGTGAATCACGTCAGAGGCTGCACTGCGGCGCGAGGCCGTGCGAGCCTCAGAAGACCCGGGTAGCAGCAGCCTGGGGACTTCAGGCAATTTGCTCAACCCCCATGACCCTCCTTTTTCCATCTGTCAATGGGCAGGCCCGCCCTTCAGGGGTCGCGAGGAGGGTTCAATGAGCCAAGCGCAGCTATGAGGACCGTGTGAGCTGTCAAGCTTGGGCGAGGCCCAGCCCAGGGTTTGTGTCAGGATGGATGAGCTCCTTCCATGCACCTAGCCTCCCCTGGAAGCGCCCTTCTCCCCCTGGGGGCCTTTGCCCTGTCTGCACACTGTTGTGGGAGGGAGGAGCTGGCCGCAGCCTCTCTCCCCTGCGGTCCTGAGGCCTCAGCTGCAGGCAGTCCTTGGCCCCCAGCAGAGTTGACAGGGACAGGGAAACACACAAGGAACGGATGCACACAGCTTTCTGTTGGTTTGTTTTAATAAAAAAAGAAAGTAAGAAAACAAAAAAACACTTCTCAGGGTGTGCTGTGAGGAAGGATCGCAGGCGTGGAAAGTCCATACAGAAGCGTGTAACGTACATACGGAAGCAAGAGCAGGTCCAGGAGCGGCTCTCGGACCCTGGGCAGGAGGCCTGCTCTCAGACACGCAGGTCTCAGGCCGTGAGAAGGGACGCGGGTCACCGGCCTTGTTCTTCTTGGAAAACTCTGCCGCCCACTCACTGGTCCATGTCGTGCACACAAGGGGCTGGTCTTTGCGAGGGTTTGTGGGTGGGGAGCACTGGGTGGGGGATATGGGGTGCACCGCTCCTGTCCCTGCCCTGCTGGAGGTCTCCGAGTCTGGGCCAAGGGTGCCCCTCTGGGGGGCATAGCCTGGGCTTCCCGTCTCCATGGCAGAGGAAGGAGTACTGCAGGGAACCTGGGGCCATGGCGGGACTTGGACCAGGATGGGTGTGCTGGGGCCGGGGCTAAGTTCTGATGGACGGCCAGAGGCAGGGGATGCGCTTCTCACAATCAGCTTTCACACGGACCTTCCTTTGCTGCTCAGTCAATCCCTCCACCCCTCCCTCCATGGCCCCAAAAGCGGGGTCCACCACGACCTGACCCAGTTTTCTCATCTGTTAAAGGAGGACCTTCATAAGACCCCGCAAGGTAGCTAGATATAGTAAGTGTGGTTAGGCCTCCAGCGCCTAGTAGGGCTCCAGGCACACAGTAAGTGCTCAACAAGGGCCGCCTCGGTGACCGTCCTTCAGGCACCAGCATTTCCAGTGCAAAGCTGTGGGTGTGTGTCCAGGTGTGGGTGACACGGAAGGCTTACACCAGGTTCTGGGAACAGGAGGGATTGCTCTGAGCCTCCTGTGTCTGTCTGGGCAGCTCGGAGGTGCCTGGGCGGCCAGGGGGACCCCGGGCCTGTCCCTGTGGCTCAGGAACCGTGCGGCCTAGACCTCGGTGCCTTCCCGGGGGTAGAGGACGCTGTTTGTGTTGATGCTGTTGTAGAAGTGGGGGCTGAACTGGTTGAGGACAGGGCCTCCGTAGCCCAGGGCGTTGGGGGGCACAGGGTTGGCCCACTCGCCCCCGGCCCCGTGGCCACCGAGGTTGGTGAGCGGGGTGTAGGAGTTGAAGTTCACCAAGTTCTGCCCCATCTTGTCGGCGGGCTCAGGACTCAGTCCCGGCGCAGCCACGGGGCGGCCAGCCCCGCTCACGTAGGATGTCATGGAGGAGAGGAAGCCATTGAGGCAGGGGGTGCCGGGGGGCCCGGGGGACGGCCGCTGCTCGGGGGAGCCGGCGGAGCCCGGGGAGGTGCTCTCCAGCAGGTCCTGGGCGTCTGCGCTCTTGGGGCTGCCGGCCAGGAGCCCGCTCTCCGACTTCTCCCCGGGGCCCGAGGGGGCGTCCGACTTCCTCTTCCTCTTCCGGCGGAAGTTCCCGTTGTCGAACATCTTCTCACAGTTGGGGTCCAGGGTCCAGTAGTTGCCTTTGCCTGTGTGGAAGCAGGGTGGGGGGGGGGGGGGGGGGGGGGAGAGAGGTGAGTAGAGACAGACACGGTGCTTTGTGCTTATTCCTCCCATGTCAACTCTAACCACTGGGACACCCCGGAGAGACAGAGAACAACAGTCAGACTGAGGACGGAGCAATCCCAACCCCTCGCTGCTGGGTGTGCTCACAGACACACAGGCAAGGGCTGTGGAGTCTCAGAAGTTCAAGTTCTGGGGCGGTGGGGAGGGAGGGCTGCTTCCATTGCCGATGAGGAAGAACACTTGGGGGACAATGTAGGGCCCCCCAAAAGTCCCGGGCATGGAGTCCAAAGATGGACTTGAGCGGCCACTTTGCTCCTCACTGACCGAGGGGCTCCGGGCGAGCCTCAGTTTCCCAGTCTGAGAAGTGGGCCCGTGTGCCTGCCCTCAGTCCGCAGGCGGCGTGGGAAGGCAAGTGCAGGGTGTGTGCCTGGGAAGTCCGAGGCCCCAGGTGAGGTCTGGGCTCTGCCTGCCTGTCTGTGTCTGAGCCCCAGGCTACGCCGGCGACTGAGGGACAAACACCGCCCCCTCGCCAGCCTCCAGGAGGGTGAACTGGCCCCCTCCCCTCCTGCCCTCCTGGCTCCTGCAACCAGGCCAGCTCGGACGTTCGTCCTGGACGTGGAGAGCGAGCATTCAGTGCAGCCCGCTCCGCACATCCACCTCCGCGCTGCAGAAACTCGCCATCAGGAGGACAGGCCCGCAGTCCGGTATCGGAGAGGCCGGCGCTCCGGCCACATTCCAGCCCAGCCCTCCAGCCTGCTGCGATTTGCCTTATCTGTGGAATGGCTTCCCACCACCGCCCGGCAGGGCTGGATGAAGGGGGTGATGTAACCGGGGCGGCAGCTGGATGGGGTTCCGGGTGGCGGTTCAACCAGCATCCCGTCTTTTCCCAGCAGCCCCGGGACCCCCTGGGTTTCCACCTCAGTCTCTAACACCTTAGGACTCCCAAGGAGCTGCTGCTGGGGGCCCAGGCCCATCAGCCACCCAGGCACTGCATCCCCAGGCACCACAGCCTGGTGTGCGCCACCCCGTGCCCCGGCCACAAGCCTTTGGAGGAGGCACGGCCACCATCCCTGTTTTTCAGGCGGGGAAACTGAGGCTCGGGGAATCTAACCAGCCGAGGTCATGGACTGGGCAGGGGCCCAGCCAGGATGGAAACCCCAACCTGCCTCCAGGGCCCATGGCTGACTCTCCTCAGCACCCCCAGTTTCTGGGGGGCACGGTCAGCTTTAGAACGTTCTAGAACGGGGTGTTAGGAAGGAGGTGAGCCTCCCCACGGCCTCCCTGTTACCTGGGTCGTCCTCGTCGCGGGGCACCTTCTTGAAGCAGTCGTTGAGCGACAGGTTGTGGCGGATGGAGTTCTGCCAGCCCGCCTTGCTCTTGTTGTAGAAGGGGAAGTGGTCGGCCACGTACTGGTAGATCTGGCTGAGGGTGAGGCGCTTGTCGGGCGCCCCGTGGATGGCCATGGCGATGAGGGCCGAGTAGGAGTAGGGCGGCCGCACCAGCTTCATCAGCTCCTCCTGCGACGGGATGGGCAGCCAGCCCAGCTCGCCGCCCCCGACGCCGGACACGCCGGGCAGCAGCTGCCGCTGCACCCCGTAGGCCTGCGGCAGGAAGGGGCTGGCGTTGGGGCCCGGCAGGTAGGGCTGCGGGGTCACGGCCTGCCCGTTGAGCCAGAGGTAGGGGTTGGGGGTGGCCCCGTACTCGCCGCCCCCCTCGAAGGAGGGGGGCCGCTGCGGGCTGGGCAGGCCCTGCGGGTGGAAGAAGTTCTCGTAGTACAGGTTGACCTCGGGGGGCTCCTGGCCCAGGCTGGGGAACTGGGGGCCGCAGTGGGGGGGCGACGGCACCGGGAGGTCGAAGGAGCTCATGCTGGGGCCGGGCTGCAAGCACCTGCTGCCACCTGCACGGGAGCTGTCCCTGCAGGTGCTCCGCCGCCTGCCAGCTCCCGCTTATACCCCAGGGCTTGGCCGCAGGCCCCACCCAGGGGCGGCCACCCAAGGGGACCCGCCCCCTGGCCAGCCGCCCTGCCCACAGCCACACTGGTCCCGCTAAGGACCTGCCCGGACCTGCATCAACGCTTCCTCTGGCCTCTCTGTCCTTCCCTCGGTCCCCACTGCTCTCCCTTCTCATCCTATTTGCCCCTCTCCCTTTATCTCGCAAGACCGGGAGGCACTGTCAGAAGCCACATTTGGGGCTTGAAGTGAAGACACACTGTGTGGAGGGAGAACCTGGTTCTGGGAATCAGGAGAGCGGAGGGGAAGGGCCGGTTGTATAGGTGACCTCCCATCACACGCACATGCATGCACTCATACATGTAGATGCACACACACGCACACTGCATCTATACACATACATGCATTCTTACACACAGATGCACACGCTCATGCACACATATACACGGACACACACGAGCTCGCACACAAGTGCACACACATGCACTCACACATGCACACACACTCAGGAATGCACACTGCAGCACACAGAGAGCGGCCGTGGACAGGTCTGGGATTACTCTGCAGGAGCAGCTGGGCTCATAACGTGAGGAGAGGAAGAGCCAGAGGAAGAGCGTGTGAGCCGGCCTTAGGGGCAATGAGCATGGACCTGCACTGTCCCAGCTCCTTCCCGGTGGCTGCAGGGACCAGGCAGGCTGGCAGTCCTTATCTGATCAGAGTCCTTTCATGTTTTAGCTTGCAGAGGCCAGAGGGGAAGGGGGAGGGAGCCGGGCCAGGGGACAGCCCTCCGCCCCTCAGCCCTCCCAGCCCATCTCTGCCTCAGGCTCCAGAGGCAAGACTCCAGCCCCTCCCCCCTCCAGGCTCTGCCTCCAGGCCCTCCCTCTGGGGGCTCCAGCCTCCATCTGCAGCTGGGACCTGGCTCGGTCCAGCCTCCCCCTCACCCAGGGCGGCCCCCAGCATGGTGAGTGGGCGGTGGTCCCCTGAACAGACTTCCCTCTGGGGTCCGCAGATGGGAAAGTTCCAGCAGCCTCTCTGGTCACCACTCCCTCCTGCGCTCGCTTCTCTGCTTCCTCCTCACACTCACCTTCCTCTCACTTCCTCCTGAGACCAAAGGAGGAGGCCACCCCTCCCTGGCAGGAGGTGCTTCCGGGACCCCCTGCGGTCCCTCTGCTCCCCTCTCCTGTGGGAGACACGGGGAAAGTGGGATGTCATGGGTGGATCTCGTCATGGATGAATCTCGTTGGCCGCATCTTGGTCCCTACAGGATGACAGGGTGACTGGGTGGGAGGGGTCCTCCCAGGCCCTGAGGAACCCCTGTTCCCACCACGGAACAGCAGTGAGGGGTGGCTCAGAAGGGGCCTGATTGCACGTTTGTTCCAAAGAGGAAAGCAAAGAGGCCACACTTTTGTATCCAGGGTCTCCACGAGGCCTGGCTGCTGTCCTTTTAAAGAATAGTCATGTCAAAACCGGTTTGGCTCAGTGGATAGAGCGTCGGCCTGCAGACTGAAGGGTCTCAGGTTCGATTCCGGGCAAGGGCTTGTACCTTGGTTGTGGGCACATCCCCAGTTGCGGGTGTGCAGGAGGCAGCTTATGGATGTTTCTCTCTCATTGATGTTTCTAACTCTCTGTCCCTCTCCCTTCCTCTCTATAAAAAAAAAATCAATAAAATACATTAAAAAAAAAAAAGAAGAGTCACCATGGGACCCATCGATGCAGACCAGACCCCCACTCCCTGCTGTGATGGTCCATCTTCTCGTTAACTGAGCAAAAATCAGCTACAGGGCTGCCCACCCCAATGCTGCCCATGGCCAGGCCACACCAAACGGTAACTAACCTGAATGTCCAGCCATCGGTGAGTGGGCAAATGAACTTCTCACCATCCAAACGATGCAAGAGATTGTAGCGTATTTTGGAGAGATGTGCATGTTCTAATAACATTACAATATTATTGAAATACCGTGAGTGGCAGGAGGCGGGGAAAAGTATGAATTCATCCATGTGTATGAACTATACAAATAAAAGTACCAAACTGTCTACTACGATTTCTGCATGGAAAATTGGGTGTGATCGTAGTTTTTGTTCTTTTTCTATGATTCCTGACTTAAGTGGTTACACAAAAGCAGGTAATGTGCTTTGGGGGTTCTGTGTAAAAGGCCAGCAAGGGGCAACGTGGTAAAAAGACAGAGGACACGGGGGTTCTGAAGTCGGGGGACCTGGGTTCAAACCCCAGCTTTGCTGCTGAGCAACTGTGTATGATGGGACTTAACGTTCTTGGCTTGAGTTCTCAGGTGACAATGGGGAGGGTGCCCCGTCACTCCCAGGGTGTCTGTGAGCACCCACAGAGGGAACCAACGTCACCGTGTAGACATTTCCCACGGAGCACAGAGGTGCGTGGTAACCTGGTGATGGTGGTGTGGTCAGGGCAGGTTTCATAGGTGTCATGGTCCCCGGGTTTGCCATGTTCACTGGCCCCTTCCAGCGGCCTGCAGGCCGGGAGGGGCGGCAGGTGGGGTGGCAGCGAAGGACACCAGAGCTGGACATGCAGTGCAGACACCCACTGGTCAGCCAGACCCTGCCATCTGTAGCTGACGGTCAGAGGGGCCCCGAGTCACGTGACAAGTTCACAGCTGTTCTGGTCAGCACCTGTCTCCCTCCCCTTTCCCCCGTTCCACGCTTGCCTATTGCTGGGGTGTCCTTCCTTAGAAGCATTTTGGAGGAATGCTCGCCTGGCTGCCCCTGTCACAAAGGGCCCTGGTTCTTTCCCCCGGAGCCCAGTGGCTGGGGCACTGCCTCTCCTGCCCTCCCTGCCCTCGCCACAGGGTCAGGCCTTCAGCCAGAGCGCCCCAAGCATCCCCAGAGGCCCCGTTCCCGATTCCCTGACACTGCACAGGCCTTGGGGCGGGGAGCAGTGCGGCCTGTCCTGACCCCGGTGGAGGTCGGGGAGCTGCAGGCCCTGGAGCCCGGTGAGTAGCCCCGTGACCTCTGGGAAAAAGCAAATATCTCTACAAATGGGGGTCCTTTTGTGGACTTTTCTTAGGCTTTTGAAATTTTCCAGAAGTGGAAATCACAGTCTGAGAAGATGGGCCTTGATCAATGTCAGGGAAAAAACAAAACAAAACAAAAAACCCACAAAAAGTTGGGCAGAGGGTCCTGAGCCAGCCTGGGGAGTGCGGGGCCACAGCTGCAGTCCAGAGGGGGGAAGATCACATATTCTGAACCTCAAACCGGGACATTTGTGACAAGGCACTAGGACATCAAAACATGGGCTGCTTATCTCAAAAGGCCTGTTTGCTCATCTATTAAATGGAACTGCAAATGGAACCTGTCCTGTGGATTTTGCTGGGGGAAGTGATGTGATGTAGGAAGTGCAGAGCCTAGGACCCGGCAGGAACTGATGAGGGTGAGGAGGGGGGTGCTGGGCCAGGGGACAGGGACTGGCAGGGAGGTGGCTCAGGGCAGGCATCTGAACTCCTCCAGCCAGCAGTCTGCCATTTGCTGCAACTTGGGACAATTCCTTTCATTTGGGGCGATGCCTGGGGAAAGAGGGGAGGCCTGCCACTCCCTGGGTGCCCAGCAGTCAGCCTGGTACACTTCCGGATCCTGGAGCCCATGCTGGAGTGAATGCCCAGGCCCCCACCTAGACTGTGGCCAGCCAGGGCCACTAATGCTGGCCTTGACTTTCAGGGGTGCAGGATTTTGTAGTGAAGCAGCAAGGGGAGGACGAAGAACCAGAGACAGAGGAGGCAGGTGGCATCTGCAGCAGCTACCCCTGCCCCACACACCAGGCACCCAGGGAGTAGACAGCGCGGCTCCGAGGCCAAAGCTGCCGATTCTCAAGCCCGGCTCTACTCCTGAATATGAGTGCCTCAGAGCACAGCCAATTGTCCGGACCTCAGTTTCCTCGTCTGTAAAATGGGGAACCCCATCTCCCTCCCAGAGTTGCTTTGAGGACTAACACCACGCACTAGCAGGTGCTCCGTGAATGTGAGCTCCCGTGAGGGGAGGCCTCCCCTGCGTTCCCCTCCTGCTCCTTTAACAGGGGCATGGCGTCTTGGGTTCCTCTCCTTTCTACACAGAAAACACCAATCAATACCGCGTGAGTTCCAGGGTTCCCGGAGCCTGGCAGGGTGGGGATAGGCTGAAATGGGGAATCAGGGGACTGGGGCCCAGCTGGCTTCCAGCTGAACCTCTGTCCCACCGTTTCCTTATCTGTAAACTGGGGATAACACCTCACAGGCTTTCTACCTACTGCCCACAGGTATGGCTCTGAGCAGCAGCCAGCCTCCCGTCCTGTCAGGACAGCACTCAGGAGGGCTGTCTCAGTGCTCGGGGCTGGCCTCCTGGCCGGTGCGGTCTTCTGTGAAGCCTGGTCCAGCTGTCAGGCAGGCCACCACCCATATTGGTGCCATCTCCCCTGCTTTTCCGGCCTCTGCTGGAGTTGGCACCTGGAGAAACATAGGCCGATAGCGCCCTCTGGCGGCCATCTCTCCGAGAGCAGGGAGCAGGGTGCAGAGACCCGCTGACATTCAGGGCAGGCCCAGGGGGTCAGATCCCCTGTAAGTGGCAGGTTCCAGGAGGAACTGCAGCGTCAGGAGGCAATGCACCCCTGGAGGGAAACACCTGAGCTTCGCTGGGTGCGCAACGAGGCAAAATGTCCTAGAAAGCAGCCAAGGGGAGCAGCGGGCCTGGTCTGGATTCCAACGCGGCTCCTCCAGTTATATTTTCCGAGTGCCTCAGTTTGCTTATCTGTAAAACAACGATAAAACCAAGGTCTCCTCCTCCAAAGGGCTCTTGCAAAGACCCAAAAGAGGCAAAATACGAAATGCCTTGGAAGTGAGGCTTGGCAGGAGTTCATCCCTTTGTTTATTCAGCACACAACGGCTGCCTTCGCAGTAGCAGCTGGAGGTGTGCAGGGCCCTGGACTGGTGGGTGTTGAGGCTCGCACCTTGCGATTCTGCCATCTTTGTGCTGTGCCTGTAGCCCGACTTACTCATACATTTTTAACTGACACTCACTTCTGCTCAGCC